AATAGAAAATGGGCCTGTTCAAACTATTGGTATACAATTAGAAGCACACAATTCCCTAGAATAGCATTATATGCTTAAACATTAAGATTTGTACTCGTGGATATTACTAAAGTAGTCAAACCATTTCATTAGAAGGGGGTGTCCCAATACTTTTGGCAATATAGTGTACAAGCCAACCTATTCAAAATCGTTGTAAGCAATTTAATAATATTGACCTATTACTTTTGCTATTGCTTTTGACCATTAGGTATCAGTAACATAATTCATTCAGAACTTTGTTTTATGGACATAGACTTTCTGTACCACACTATTCTGCTGATATGGAATGAGTTTGACTACTTAATCAGTTATATTAATAGAAATGCTTCACTGGGGCAAACAAACAAAAAAATCCTAAAATAATAAATAGGATACCCCATAGCAGCATTTCCAGCAGTATCCATCATTTCTCAATCATGATCTTACTCAGCTAAATGTGACTATTAGCTTAACAGCTGTATTGCTTGTTTGCTAGCTACCTATGCACATACAGCATACAATGTTAAAAATTTTCTACATTATGAACCTTAACCCAAAAACCTTTAGCTTCATACACTGTAGATAAATGTGACCCTGCCTGTGAAACCCAGCTAAAGTATTTTTTTTAAAACAGTGGATGAGTAATTCACTCCTTGATTTGCTTAATAAAAGCCTCCTTTGAAATCGTTTTGACAGACATGTTTATTGTGTATTATTTTCTACGCGTTTATTGCTAAGTTTAGTGTGGCAAACAGTATCTGGTTGCCATGACAACCTCATGCGCTTCCTGCTGCTGCTCTATGTAATCAGAGTGTGAATTTGTAGATTTTCTATAGCAAAACTAAAATGTGTTTAAAAGTGCGACTGACCAAATCGTCCGGCTCAGTGTGCCCTCCTCGAACTCGAAGACAACTCTAATTTGACAGTTTACCATCTGACCTCACTCAGTGACTCTAGGCTACGTAGGACATAAGACAAAACCATGCAGTGAATGGGGGGAGATAATTTTGCTGGAAATGCAGAAATAAGCCGTAATTTTGTTTTATTTGTAACTCTTTGGTAGATACATTTATAATTTCTATTAAATTACTACTACTACTGTTACTACTAATAAAACAGATCTCTGGGGGGCCCAAAAGTGCGTGGGCCCTTAGAATCGTTTACCCCCCCCTTAGCGGCACCCCATGTGTTAAAATGTTTTGGTTGGGTTCTTGGTGGTTGCTCCGATACTCTAGGCTCCAGTTAGGGTTAGGGGTTTGTTTGTTGTTGTGCCTTAACAAGCACCAATGGTTATGAAATCTACCATTATGGTGTTTTAATTTTTGTCCAACTTCTGTATGATACTGTTTTTAGAAAATCTAGTCTCTCAAGTTCATTAATGAATGTGTCTATGCAAATGTTCAAGCATTGCAGAATGACATGTAGAATTTATTCCAAGCCATTAAAAATGTTTTTCCATTTATTGAAGAAATTCAACTCATCAGCTGTCTGAACTGATGAAATCACTCAAAGAAGTGGTGAAATGTCTTCAAGAAATGGAAAAGTAATTCTACAAGATTGCATACATTTTACACACTGTAAAGCAAATGCAGCAATTAAACTCGTTATTAAAAATAAAACACTCGTCAAGCAGTTTTGGTAGTTAAACTAAATGAGCAAAAACATGAAAGATGCCCTAAAAATTAATTAAACCCATTTTAAGGAATATTCCAAGTTCCAGAGTGAGGTTCTAATGACAAGCTGTCAATTATCAAATTAAATGTAATTTTGCTTTTACAGACATGTGGATCACGATTATTTTACGTAAAACTGAAATCATGTTAATTTGTTCTGAACCTGGAATATTCCAGGCAATCCTTATGGAGATCAGCGTATAAATATGCATGCATGTCACTCAAAAGATGTGTTCAATCACTTATACACTGCAAACATGCGGGTATGATCACAGCACAACAAACACAAGCAACTTACAAAATAAAATGGAGCTTGTATTCTGAGAAAAAAAAGAACAAAATATTTTTTGTTAGCATAATTCTTCACTGTCTGATAAAGGTTTATTTGTTGTGAGTGATGGCATTAACAACATGTTTAGGTTTTTAGAAACAAAAAAGTCCCCTTAAAAAAAAAAAAAAAAGTTTCTTTAGATTATTAAAATGTTCGGCACACTAAGAAAATAATGGTTCTTTTAAGAACTGTTCACTGAAAAGTTCTTTGGGGAACACTTCATTTTTAAGAGTGTAGTGTGAAGAACATTTTAATAATCAGAAGAACCTTTTTCCACTATAAAGAACCTTTTGTGCAATGGAAAGATTTCATGGATGTTGAAGGTTCTTCACGGAACCATCAATCCCAATAAAGAACCTTTATTTTTAAGAGTGTACCATGGAATTATCCTTTTCTTTTGGTACCTCGGAGTACCATGAAAATCATAAGAATGCATATGAAGAAACATGGTTATCAATCAGCACCATGGTGTATGTCAAAGCTGCAGGGCATTACCATCTCATATTATCATGGTACTTTTCTGCAGGGAAAGGTTGAGAATATTAATGCAGATATGTATAGTTACCTTGAAAGCTGGACTTGTGGGGTTTAGAGGGTTAAATGGGTCATCACCATCTGTAGAAGTGATGTTGAGATTCTTCATTCTCTTCTCTGCTGCTTCCATCCTCCTCCTCTCAATGTCCTCCTTCATCTGCCTCTTGTCCTCCTGTAGTTATTATTAAATTGACTATGTTTTATGCAAACCTTAAATAATGTTCTACTGCTGGAAGAAACCAGTTTAACATTCCCACCAAAACAGAAGAATAGAAGAATAGAAATCAGCCAAGCCACCTCTTTTTTGACTAGTTTCTTCTGTTCCTTTTCCTCTCTCCTCAGCTCATCCTCTTCGCGAGCCTTGCGTCTTTCCTCTCTCTTCTTCTTCAGTTCCTCCAGCTCCAGCTCAGCCTCGGCCTGACGCTGCTGTAGCTGCTCCTTCTCCTGGTGGCTATGTCTGATCTTCTCCAGCTTCAGCTTGGTCTCCAGACCAGCGTGCATGTCTTTCTTAGTCTCAAAGGCCTGATTTACATCTACAGTCCTGCTGGAGAAGAGTGGAGAACAGGAAAACGGGGGTAGGCTCAGACAACCTGTCAATCATTTCTGTGAAACAATCAGTAAAAATTACTTTCGGACAGGCAGACATTCTCTGATCAGTCATACATTACTGCTATTTTTGGTTTGCAGAGGTTATCATTTTTCCACACAGCCTATTATGAATCCATCTCAGATGAACATAAAACATAAAAATAAAGCAAATTGTGGTTGGTCAGTTTTTTCTGTCAAAGTGGATAGTTGGCCAGAATAAGCAGTAAAATGGGCCAGACCTTACGGTATTAGTTAAAGATCTGGCTATACGAGATTAGATACTAACTAACTCCCTTAACAGCCCTTTTAGAAACTTCCTGGCACAACCTTTTTGGCAGCAACAATATTAGGTCACGTCTATAACAAATATGACATAAGCCTCTAAATTTAACAAGACCAAATTCTACATGTAGTTTTCCCCCTAAAGTCAACTTAAAATGTTAAATGTTGTCAAGCTTTCTTCAAACCATCCTTATTAATCAAAAACATAAATAATAGCTGTCATCAAAACAATTATTTTGTCAATACATAATTTTCCCTTTCTTTGACTCTTACAATTAAACAGGCTGTACTTTAAAAATAGTGAATAAGAGTATATCATATTATTTATGTATTTCTTTTCTTTATAATGGCGATTTTTTTTTACTTTTATTAAACAATGATGCATTAAATTGATCAAAAGTGACAGTAAAGACATTTCATAACGTTTCAAAAGATTTCTATTCTCTATAAATGATGTTCTTTTGAACTTTCTATTCATCAAAGAATCCTGAAAAAAATTCCTCTGGTCTCTGACTGCTAACCCTCTCACTGATCTCTGTTCGTCTCTCAGCGCTCCTCCTCCCCTCCGGTCTTTTCTCCTCTTCTTCTCGGTCCTGCGTTTGCTGATACTGTATGGAAGTGGTGAAGCTGCTTTTCTCACTTTGTCTAGATCTTGCATTCACGTCTTTCTCCTCCTGTTGTGGCTGTTCTCCACTGCCGTTCTCATCCATTCTGGACCGTGTTCTCCGTTCCAGCTTCTGGGTCCAGTCGCTGAAACCTTCATCCTCATCCACAGCAATAGGGCAGCTGGGTTTGAGTTCACTTTCATAGCTGAAAAAAACAACAAACTTGTAAGTAAATACAATCTTATATGAGCCGTGGCTTAGCAGTTAGAGCATGTGCATTGAGCTGTGGTGCTCATGTGGGAAACAAAGATTTGAATCTTGCTTTTAAACTTTAAAAAATAATAATTCTTAATTCCTATAAAATGTTCTATATTGTAAAAAAAAATTACAGTAAACAAAATTGGCAGCTTGCCAGAACTTTACTGTAAAAATAAGGTAGCAACATTTTAAGTTTTACAGATTTAAATTAAATGTACAGTTAAAAAAAAAATAATAATAATGCGAATGCAATGCAACAAATAATGCTATAAACGTTCATTTAACAACATAAGATGAAACATAAAACCTAATGTATGCACACAACTAATAGTAAAAACTTAAAAAAATCAAATCTGAGCTGTCACACAGAGAATTCAGGGAATGTCAATTCACATTTTTTCACTGTAAATTATAAGATGACTTTTTCATTTTGCCTGCACAAACTGAAAATGTAACAATATTTTACATGAAATATCACATTAGATCTATTATAGTTTTTTCACTGTATAGTGTAAGGGAACTTAATACCAAGTTTTGATTATATTTTTTTTACAGTTTCTTACCATTAAAATTACAGTGTTACAATGTTGTATTTTTGTCTGTTAGTCCTCCTTCCTTGAATGTTTGTTCTAATGATGTTATTTGTATTTGAAAGACAATAAAAAGATTATCACAAAAAAAAAAATTACAAACATTTTTAAATGTAAAAATATTTTAAATATATAATTCTCTTAAACTCAATTTACAAAATAGGTCAAATATACTTAATCATGCTCTCCCAAAATGAACTGCCTCATTTATAAAGACCTGCACAGAATTTTAATAAATGTCAGCATATAACAATTTCAGAAATGTTCCTGCAAATAAATAAATAAAAATAAACAAAAAAATAAAACATCCTGAATGCATCCCACTTTATATGAATCTTTACATCTTTATAAAACAATGTGAACAAGCACATCAACTCCATCTACAGAAAGCCCACAATATATTTAGGAAATCATACTGTATATAATTAATAAATAAATTTTAGAGACATCAATGTCATTTCAGCTCATTTGTGCATACATTAATGCATATTGTGATGTATTTATCTTTGTATTAACACATTTATTCTTATGTATTGATCTTTACATTGTTGTATACAAAATATTTTATTATTTTAATTGCTAGTATATACAAGTGCCAAAAAGCTTATACACATGCTGTTTAGTTGCCGTATACATAAGAACATTTACACATCAGTTTTAGCCTTTAAAATTCCTGATTTGTTCCTCACTTTTAACGTAGGATGAAATCCATGGAATTTAGGATCAGATGAAGACCCTGACTTTTCTTTAAAGATGATTCAGACTCCATTACTTTGCGGTGAGACATTGGACATTTTTAGAGGAATGAGAGGCAGACCTATATAATCACATGAACGGCTCCAGTCAGTTAAAGCAGCACATGGGCCCACACACCTGTGATGGTGTTACTTTGACAAGAGAAACTATGCGCTGAAGTCACTGTGCCAGCCTGTTAACACAAGAGACTGACTTCAAACACGCTCCTGAAAAACACAGATGTGAACAGAGGTGTGTGTGACGATCTGACAGGTGCTAGTTTGTTGTTATTTTCTTTCGTTTGCCAGGGGCAACCAGAGGATTTTGATGAAATGCGCTACATTATATATATATATATTATACACACACACACACACAAAGAAAAACAAGTAGATAGAATAAAAAAAATAGAAAGATGCTAGTTTTTTTTATAAAAAAAGAAGATAAATAGATAAAGTAGAATTAAAATAGAATAGAAAGTGCTAGAGGATTAGAGGGTCAAATAAAGATATTTATATATATATATTAATATATAATATACGGTATATTATGTTATATATAAAAATGGTGTAGATGAAATGCAGAAACGCATCCCATGTTGCAACAAGATACCATTCTAGTTTATAATGGTTTTAGTGCAAATTAAATTGTCCACAGTAAAGAACCACAATAGAGTGTCTCATTTACCATTGTTCAGCAAATTTTCACAGGCGAAATCCAGTCATTTATCATAGCCATAAATGAAGAATTTGTTCCCTCATTTTAGTTAAATCCTGGCCACAAATTAGAAATTTGTTCCTACATTAATTCGTTCCCTCATTTTAGGAAATCATGGCCACTTTGTACGAATTTGTTTCCCCATTTTGTACAATGTGGCCACAATTTCCTAAAACGATGAAATTAACTAATAAGTTGTGGGAATGAACAGTATATAAATAGTATAATCTTGGTTTCAGGGTTGCCAGGTCTGCGTAAGAAAATCAACCCAACTGCTAATCGAAACTAGCCCAATCACGGCCAAAACTAGCCCAAGTGTGTTCAGGGATGGGGCAGGACAGGGCAGAGCGGGGCGGTGAGGAGGATGACTTAAAAAAACAACCCATGGACCAACAGTGTAAAAGTAGCCCAATACCACAGCAAAATCTTTCACTTGGCAACACTGCTTGGATTATTAATTCATAAATATCATTGCATTTTTTGGGAAGTTGCACCACATGACATTTTACCTGAACTAACCTCGCCTTGTCAAGAAAGGTCAAATAATTAATTAATTAATTTTAAGAGACTTAGTGACCCCCTTATTGACTTATGGACCCTCTCTATGACATAATTTCCTGTTTTTTCTGCATTTTGGTAGGTTCCACTCCACTGATCATGTTTGGTTGATCATATTTGATTTGGCAGACGAAAATTTCAAATGTTAAAATATATTTTGACATATTGTCATTGTATGTATGAATTGCAATTTAAATGTATTTTTGTTTAAATTAGATGAACATCACTTCATCACCGTCCCATGTACAGTACTTAAATGGAAACTAACTATTGTTACAAGGGTAAATTTGTGTAAGGGATTGTTCAAAGAGTTCACACAAGGTTTAAACACACACACCTGCACTCAAGCTCATACAGTGATAAAAGAGGCCGTTTTTACTGACACCAACGGCACCTCTCACTCGGTTCGTTGCGAAGCCTTGAAATTAAAATCTATTTTATCTGCCCAGGAGCTGCCGGAAAGGAATGCAAAGCACATTCCACAAGATTATTAAGCAGATTTTCAGCAAAGCATAACAACTGACCATCAACAATCAGTCGTTACGATTCAATGGCCCAGTTACAAATCTGACTACACTACACACAAGATTATTGTATGAGCCGATCTAGAAAGTCTTGAAAATGATTCATGTGTCTCTAAGTCAAGAGTGAACCTTTGAATCTTCTCTGATCAAGGATAATTACAAAGTGGCCCTAGATGACCTATTTCTGCTTTCAACAGGTTGACTCAGTGAGCTGTGTTTAACATCACACATGTAAAATATGTGGGATGTGAGGTCCGTAATGTTTCTCTGATTAAAAGCAAGTGGTGTGGGATATGACATAAACCCTATTCCAAAGGCATGCCTGCTGAAAATTCTTCAGAGATTAGGTAATGATGAGAGAACAGCTGTGCCACTGAAAATTGCACGTGTAGGTTTAGCTGAGAGAAAGAAATCTAAACTGACCTTTTGCTAAGCCCAACCTTAAAGACATGTAACAGGGTAAATCACGTAATATGAATCTTTTTTTTTTTCGTCCGTATCTCTAAATGTGTTCAAAAATACATTACAAATGCAATTCGTGCATACTGTTACTTGTGTATTTATATATTTTAGCATGTTTTTAATTTCTGATTTAATTTTTAATTTAAAAGAGTCTAAACTGTCAGGATGATACAATTGCCCTGAGATCATTAATGAAGAAAACCACTTGATATTCTTGAAAATAAACCTTATTAAGTAGTTTGGCACAGTATTTTATTCTTTTTTCTAAAATATAATAATAATTAGTTAAGGTTGTAAAATGTCATGTGGTGTAACTCCCCAAAAATGTTACATTAATTTTATTTACATTATATTATATTATTAATTAATCATTTTAATAAATAATTTTAAACTTTTTAAATAATGATTAAGATGTTTACATTCACACTGTATTCAAGGTGTAATGATGGTAACACCACATGACATTTTTATGTTCATTCAATTTAAACTTGTCTTGAAAATGAAACCAACATGAATACAAAGGAACTTGGCACATGTGTTTTAAACTAGAGTTTTCTTTTTCTTTATCATGGACACTCTTATTTGACCCCAACACTAAACAAACTGCGGTTTGTCGCTTTACATGTCGGTCAGAAGTGGACAGCCTTTGGAAAGAAAAAGTTGCAATGAGAACCAGACATGTTGCAAGTCCGTATTTCCAATTTTCACTTGGAAATCCACCAGGCAACAAAACAAGCCTAACTAAAATCAGGTGAAGTGCGAAGAATAGAATGGCGTTTACACTTACAGGCCGGTCTCAGGTGGGTTCACACTGTCCTGAGGGGAACCAGCAGATCCAGATAGGCTTTGCTGGTTGCGGAAAGCCTCCCGGGCCCGACGTCGCCTTTCTCTCTCGATCTCCTCAGCATCTTCGATACTTCGCTGGGCCGTCACTCTGCAGCAAGAGAAGCAGAAACAAGCCCCTTGTTACATCAGAAAATATTCATTTTTCTTTCTTGACCCATGTGAGAGCGGTGGTCAAATGATGAATATCCCTGAGCCCAGAAGAGTGCTGTTGACTATGATACATGGACCTCTTCAAGAAATCTCCAACAATAGTTTGTTTAGTCCCTTGCTTGAGATTCCGAGCCAGAGGAACATCTGCTCTGGCATTCGACACCACCAATGCTTGAGTGACAGAGACCCTGCAAACTCACACTCAAGATGCTGAAGCATCTATGTGTTTATCTAGCTTCAAAACACACATGCTCTTCATGTCTTCTATGCTGGGAAAAGTAGGCCAAACAAATTGATTTCAGTTGCCACAGTTGAGCTTTATTTACTAATGCTAGGTCTTGCTAAATGTTAATGGTAGCAAGCATTAACTTTGGTCTAGGTTCAATCAAAAATGAAAGTTCTATCATCATTTACTCGCATTCCAAACCTGTATGACTTTCTTTCTTCTGTGGACCACAAAAGCAGATATTCTAAAAAAGCTCAGTGGTTTTTATGTCCATTCAATGGGCTCCAATGTTGTCAACATGCCAACATTGTCTAAAATATCTTCTCTTGTACTCTGTAGAAGCAAGAACTTCACACAGGTGTGGAAGGACATGAGGGTGAGTAAATGATTTTTGGGTCCTTTAGGGACTCTTATTTTTGAGTTCTTTATAAATGATAGTAGTAAAACCAACATGTTATGTGAACCTATAATGTAACACCAAAAACGTTTTTTAATTGCTAAAGAAGTCGTGTAGATTACTTGTGGATTATTGTGATGTTTTTATCAGCTGTTTGGACTCTCATTCTGATGATTGACTGCAGAGAATCCAATGATGAGCAAGTGATATAATGCCAAATTTCTCCAAATCTATTTCAGAGAAACAAACACATCTACATCTTGGATGTCTTGAGGGTGAAAACATTTTTTATTCGATTTTCATTTTGGCCTGAACTACACATTTTTGTTGTCACTGAATAAGTTAATTGAGGAACCTTTAGTAAAGTTCTCAGAAGGTTCTGCTGACTTTGAGATCAGATTTGTTGCAGCAAAAATGTACAATTTTTGGGATTATTTTCTAGGGCTGGGTTTTGACACAAATGTATTTTCTAGGGCTGGGTTTTGACACAAATTTCACGATTCGATTCGATTCGAATTCACAAGCTTACGATTCGATTTGATTACCAATTCGATTCAATTCAATATCGATTATTTTGGATACATATCAGGTACAGTACATGCCAAATTTTCTCAAGGAAAAAAAATCTCTCAAGTAATGCTGTAAAACACAGTGGCGGCTCGTCGGGGGAGGCAGGGGAGGCACAGCTTCCCTAAATTTTTGAGGTGAAAATGGGAGGAGGA